TTTCTCATCATTGTATGTATATTTTTATATTTCTATAGCTGCCTTATTATTAACTATATTTTTGTCTCATAGTTACCTTACTGTATTTACTGCCTATTTACTGTTTTTATCATTGACTTTGACACAGACATATTTTGTATGCTATTTCCCACAGTTTCTTATCATTGATCTTTTGTTCTTTTAATACTGTTTATTTAGATTGCTTATTTCGGCAGATTTGTACTTGCTTTGTACACCATTCTTTGTTGTTTTAGGACCGCCCCCATTATTTCAGTTGTATATAGTTGTTTCTTATCCCATTTGTACAGTCTCCTGATGAAGTCCACTGTGTGGACGAAAGCTAGAGAATAAATTATATATTGTTAGTCTCAAAAGTGCTGCTGTTTCTTACTTTATACTTTCTAACATAAATATAATAGTCCCTAACACATTATTTCACACTTTCTAATTTTGTTGTCAGGATTGGATAGTTTTGGTATGTATGGTACAGTACTAAATTTCCAATTGATTTTTGACCAGATCAACCATTCGATTCTATTTAACTTTACTTCTCTTAATACCATATGCCTTCCACCTTATCACTGTCCCAAATGTTCCTTTTCTTCTTTTTTTTTATAAGGGCAATTGAGCTTTATATAATTAATTTAATACCTTAATCTTATTATATAACCTGTAGGGTTACCACTTTACTAGACAAGGTTCATACGGTGAATGATGATTATTCATACACTTTAAAATTAGGCCTATACTACATAACTGTAGGACTACCAGCACGGCAACAAAATCCTGACCGACCAAATGGTTTGCTGGGCAAGGCCTACAGATACATAACCTGTTATCAACCTATACCCAAGAACAACTGATGCAAGTTCTTTTGTGGTAAATTATAAATATTATTAGGATAAAAACACAACAACCTACCTTTGATTGCTAGCTTGAGTTGATCTAGACACTGTTGTAAGCGACTTGCATCCACAGAAGCTGGCTCCTGACACTTTGCCTAGTATAACGATGACATATCATAATATGTTATTAATAAATAGCAACAAACATAACAAACATCAAGATAAGACCTGTAAAGTTATTGTTTAGGCTTTATAAAAAACCTAGAAAAAACCCTCTGCATAACATTGTCAAACTTACTATATAGTAGCTTGGAAAAAATATTTCTTTTTTGTAGTATTTCATTCTTACCATGACTATGCGTATCTTGCGACTCGTGTCTGACCATGTTTTAATCTGTCCACCCAACATTGTTCACCCTGTTGCCCACCCACTTTAACAATGGTATATTCCAATTGGGTGGTTTATGTCCTGGGTGGTTTATGTCCTGGGTGGTTTATGTCCTGGGTGGTTTATGTCCGTATACCATTTTTGTCTCATAGTTACCTTACTGTATTTACTGCCTATTTACTGTTTTTATCATTGACTTTGACACAGACATATTTGTATGCTATTTCCCACAGTTTCTTATCATTGATCTTTTGTTATTTTAATACTGTTTATTTAGATTGCTTATTTCGGCAGACTTGTACTTGCTTTGTACACCATTCTTTGTTGTTTTAGGACCGCCCTATATTATAGTTGTTTCTTATCCCATTTTTACAGTCTCCTGATGAAGTCCACTGTGTGGACGAAAGCTAGAGAATAAATTATATATTGTTAGTCTCAAAAGTGCTGCTGTTTCTTACTTTATACTTTCTAACATAAATATAATAGTCACTAACACATTATTTCACACTTTCTAATTTTGTTGTCAGGATTGGATAGTTTTGGTATGTATGGTACAGTACTAAATTTCCAATTGATTTTTGACCAGATCAACCATTCGATTCTATTTAACTTTACTTCTCTTAATACCATATGCCTTCCACCTTATCACTGTCCCAAATGTTCCTTTTCTTCTTTTTTTTTATAAGGGCAATTGAGCTTTATATAATTAATTTAATACCTTAATCTTATTATATAACCTGTAGGGTTACCACTTTACTAGACAAGGTTCATACGGTGAATGATGATTATTCATACACTTTAAAATTAGGCCTATACTACATAACTGTAGGACTACCAGCACGGCAACAAAATCCTGACCGACCAAATGGTTTGCTGGGCAAGGCCTACAGATACATAACCTGTTATCAACCTATACCCAAGAACAACTGATGCAAGTTCTTTTGTGGTAAATTATAAATATTATTAGGATAAAAACACAACAACCTACCTTTGATTGCTAGCTTGAGTTGATCTAGACACTGTTGTAAGCGACTTGCATCCACAGAAGCTGGCTCCTGACACTTTGCCTAGTATAACGATGACATATCATAATATGTTATTAATAAATAGCAACAAACATAACAAACATCAAGATAAGACCTGTAAAGTTATTGTTTAGGCTTTATAAAAAACCTAGAAAAAACCCTCTGCATAACATTGTCAAACTTACTATATAGTAGCTTGGAAAAAATATTTCTTTTTTGTAGTATTTCATTCTTACCATGACTATGCGTATCTTGCGACTCGTGTCTGACCATGTTTTAATCTGTTGGCTTGTGGTTCTTAATTTCGCCATTAATGAAGGGAGAAGCTCTTCTTGGTTCCCATCGAGAACTAAAATAAAAATAATACAAATATAATGAAATTAGTATATGCAAAAAATATAAGTACCATAATTACCTAGGATTACTAGTCAACCTCACATAATTTCAATTCAAAGTGGCTTCGATAAATTGTTTGAGTTAATAGAAAATAAGTAATAGCTACAGAAAGATACTATAGGTACCACATACCTGTCAATACAAAATGACAGAAACACTTCCAGCGACTGAAATTGTTTCAATCATTTTATGCTATAAAATTATGGGTAGACATTTTTAAATACACTAATTTTTCATGTGATTACCAATTTTATGTTCAAGTTAACAATTATTATGTTACTTCAAAATAAGCAAGTTAATTTCAAAAATGAATTATATATATTTTGGTATTTTTTATGGGACATTACATAAATAAGAGCGAAATCATGATGATGTAGAGC